CATATATCACATTGGAGGAAGAACAAGTAAATGCACCTTTGATGTTGTGGCTGATGATCCCAGAATAGATGTGGGGATAGAGTTGGCATCTGGACTTATGGCAGGGTCTTGTACCTGTATTGCCATCCATGTTATGTATTATGTTGTAAATGAGTAGTTAGTTGTTTAAGATATGGAAGTTGTGTATAGACTAATAAAAACTTGTCTTCCAGAGTTTGCAAGAGAGCTGTGGAATTAAGAATTGGTTGTATCTCACTAATGATATGTTTGAGTGGTCTCAGCTGAGTACTGTAGGTGACCATAAAGTATTTCTAGCCTGTACTGATGGTATGTGTGTGAATATGTATGTAACCAACAAGTGCCACTTTATTTTTATTTATATTTGTACCACATTAACAAAAATTTGTACTGACACTGTATGAAACATTTTATGGACATCAAGCAATAATAATGCCAATTAAATCTATTTCAGTTCTAGGCTGTAACATAACAAAATATGGAAAAGTCAAAAGGGTATATGTATTAATATTTCTGCAAGGCATTGTTACAGGAGCATTTTCCAGTGAAAATTATACTCAGTAAAAACCAGAACTCTTCCACATTTGAACGTTTAAAACACCTTTTTCTCTGCTCTGAATAATAAAAAAACAAGTCCACGGAAAACTGATTCTTGTCCTCAAGACTGGATATTATGCACTGTCATCAAATTACATCAGCTGTTTTTCTGACTCATTGAGAAAAGTCATCACAGACTCTGAAATAATTTTTCTTCTATTTCCCTTTCCTTAACTATTTACTTAACTTTTTTGTCACATGAACTTTATATGACAAATTGTGCAAATAGCCTTTTTTTATTTTGCAAATTCTGTAATTTACAAATAAAATTTCCTTCCCATTGTCAATCTTCTTCAAATACTTAATGGAGATGTTTCATGAAATTTTTATTATATCTGTATCACAGCTGTGTTAGTCTCTTAAAAATCCACAAACCACACCAATAGATTCGCACCTTTACTAGGATTAAGTAAAAACAAACACAATTATAAGACCATTTTTAAGCATCACAGCACTCTCTCTTAGGTGGACATTAAAACAGAAAGGAAAGAGAAGGAAACTATTTTTCTGGTAAACAGTTAGGTTACATAGGTATCTAGGTATTTCTCAATGACCATTCAGGAAGCTCTTTTCAGACTTTTCAGGTTAGTATGTGTCCACTGCAGAAGACATAAGGTGGGAACAAAGCATCCTAGGATAAAGAAATATTACCTCTTCCCTTTTCATAAAATATTATGAAGGCTAGTCTAGCAATAAGAGCCAGCGTGGTGTAGTGGTTTGAGCACTGGACTATGACTCTGGAGATCAAGGTTCGAATCCTGGCTTGGCCATGTAAACCCACTGGGTAACCTTGGGCAAGTCACATACTCTCAGTCTCAGAAGCTGGCAATTACAACCCCCCTCTGAAGAAACTTGCCAAGAAAACCCTATGATACGGTTGCCTTAGGGTTGCTGCAAATCGAAAATGACTTGAAAGCACACAACAACAAAAACCACAACAGCCTAGGGATACTATTTGCCAGCAAATTGGAGGACAAAGAGGTAGGACTAAGAGGCAGGACTCTTTTTTTGGAGGTCATTCTTAGGGAGATTGCAGACCCAACTGCTCAGAAAGGAATCTTTCCCTGAAGGAAGGATTTATGGGGAAAAGTAACACCTTCTTTGCCACTGCTAAAAAATGAGAACTATTTTAAATCTCTGAGTGAAAAAATGAATACCACCATCCATTTGTTGTTGCTGTTACTGTTTGCCTTCAACTTATTTCTGACTTTGGCCATCTTATCATGGGGTTTTCTGGGGCTAAGAGTGTGACTTGCACAAGGTCACTCAGTGGATTTCCATGGCTGAGTAGGGATCAAACCCTAATCTCCAGAGGTGTAGTCCAGCATTCAAACCACTATACCACACAGGATCGTATCCCTTTACAAGATATCCAAAGAAAGTCAAACTTTGGTAAGTTCTAAACTAAAAGCACCACTACCACTACCACCACCATCATAACCACTACAACTTCTTTTTTCTAATATTTATACCCTGCCCTATATCAAAGATCTCAGGGTGGCTTACAAAAACAATTAAATCAAATTACAAAGTTTAAAACAATAGAATAATTAAATAAGCTAAAACATCAAACAGCAACAATAAGTTTAAAACAGATTTAAGAGCTTTTAAAACTATATGCATCTATACTTGGGTTGAATTAATGAGGGCCAAAGGCTCTGATGAACAGCCAACTTTTAACTTGGTGCCTAAATAAGATGAGTGTAGATGCCAGTCAGACCTCCGGGGGAGGGTATCTGAATCAC